TAAATATAAAAAATCTAAAATATAATTAGGATAATCATTGAGTTCTAATAAAATACTCAATAATTTATTAAATAAAAAATAAATTATTTCGTTATCAAATCTAAATTAAATTATAATACAAAAAATGAATTAAATAAATTACACAAAAAACAAAAACTCTTAAATAGTTAATTTGATATTAATATTGATATATCTATTTTCGAAATTTTATGAATCTTTAAATTTATATTTATTCAAAAATAAAAACATTATCCATTTCTCAAAACCATATAAAAACCATATTAAAACCTCTACAGAGACGGAACAGAACGAAACATTAAAATCAAGATATATCTCACTGCATTACGCGAGTATCCTTCTAGTTATATTATAAAGCATTTGACAAAAACTCTTAAAAACCATTTTTTATGCATAAAGTACTGTTTATTTATGCATATTACTTAAAATTTAAGATTACAAGTAAACTGTACGTAAATACAACTTATTAAAGCTTAATTTTTGAATTCGTATAACTAACTTCAGATAAAAATAATCAAATAGAGGATAAACATTTCATTTTAAATATAAAAAACTAAAATATAATTATTATAATCATTAAGTTCTAACAAAATACTTAATTATTATTTTATAAAAAAATTATATTATTAAACCAAAAATTAAAAAAAAATGTATTAAAGAAGTATACAAAAAAGAGAAATTTTAAATAGTTAATTTGATACTAACATCAATATTTTTTTTTATAATATTTTTATATTTATATTTTATTCAAAAATAAAAACAATATCGATTTCTCAAAATCACATAAAACCGTATTATAATATCGACTAAGACAAAAAAAAAGGAAACACTAAAAATCGAAATGTATCTCACTGCATTGCACGAATACCCTTCTAGTATATATATATATATATATATATATATACTATATAATAAAGCATTTGATAAAACTCTCAAAAACAATTTTTATGCATAAAATACTGTTTATTGATGCATATTACTTAAAAATCAAAATTAAGTAATTGATTGTGCGTAAATACAACTTATTAAAGCTTTATGTTTGAATTCATATAACTAACTGCAGATAAACAAAATCAAATACATGATAAACATCATTTTAAATACAAAAAGTCTAAAATATAATTAAGATAATCATTAATAAAACAAAATATTAAAATCAAGATGTATCTCGTTGCATTGTACGAGTACCCTTCTAGTGTGTGTGTGTATATATATATATATATACACACACACTACATTAGTAAGGTATTTATACCTATATCTTAAGTACAAGTCTTAAAGCATAGAATATCATCATTTTATGCAAGAATTCAAAAATCTCTTAATTATAAAATATTTTGCACAATGTACAAGTTGTTTATGCAACACCAAATCCTAATTGGGTCAAAATTTCTTTCTCTTTACAAACTTTTAAGATCACCACATTGAGCCGCTTTTGTTGTTCTTCTTCTTATCTATACTACATTAATAAGCATTTAGATCAAAAGTCCTAATTACAAGTCTCAAAGTATAAAGTACTATCGATTTATGCAAGAAATTTTTGCATAATGTACAAATGCTTAAAACATACCATTTGTTTGGTCAAAGTTTCAAATTTAAATAAATCATATTTACATGAAAAATGTATGTTTGGTCTTCCCAAAATTGTTTCACTTTGTTTGTTTCCTATTTTGAACCCAAGTTCAAACTCTAATTTATTCTTTCTCTCGAAGTAAACTGAAATTTAAAGCAACAATATCAGAAAGAGTTTCAGACACCCCAACCCTTCAACTTTATATGGGTTTAGAAACTCAACATGTGTGCAATTATTTTTTCAATCGATCTTACTAATACACCATATTAGTCTTCAACTTTATATATTAGTTGACTTATAAAATAACTACACAAACTCATGATTCGAAGCTAAACTAATGTTTCAGAATTGTGATTCACCTGTGCTGCATCGTACAGGTACACCACTAGTATGTATATATATATATATATATAGAGAGAGAGAGAGAGAGAGAGAGAGAGAGATATTGATTAAATTAAAGAGAATCTTAGAACAGCATCAACTGTTGGATTTAAAAATTAAATAACCCGGATTCCAATAAAACTATCTATATCATTGAAGTAAAAACGATAGATGGTTCACATAAGTTTCCTTGTTATCCTTTTTTGTCTAGTGTTATTCACACCTCTATCTATCTATCTATCTATCTATCTATCTATCTATCTATCTATCTATATATATATATATATGAACATTACTTACATAGGAATAATCAAATGGGGTTTACGAACCGGAAATGATGTGTTGCTTTACATCGTGAAATAATTAATGCGAAAAAATACAGTATTGTTTGACAATAAGATTATTTGTAATATGTATTTTTTGTTTCATATTTTAAAACAACAATGTACTTTCACATCTATCATGGTTCTAGATTTTTCATCTTTTTTTAGTTCTTATTTAATTATGTCAATATATATGGACATATTCACACAAGAATAGTAAACATTCTGAAACTTGAAAACCATTATTCAAGTTGTATACAATATTAAACATTTATTTTGAAACAATCCAAAAGATTGTATTCATTTGTGAAGTAATCAGTAATAAACGTTTACAATAAGGATTACTTATTCTTATGCTTCCCTTAAATAACACCCATGTTCTTTGCATGACAAATTTTTTAAACATTTATTCACATTGTGTTTATCGAATTCAACGTATGTATCAACAATGGTTATTCATTATGCATAGATAATTGTACTTAGCAATGGCGTTTAGTTATGGACAGACACAACATACCTTAGCTTGCAGTCCTGGCAATGCAGCTGCCAAAATTGCACCCTAAATCAATATTCACCAACATTCAATTCAATTCAATTCACATTCATCGAATTAAATCTGAAAAAAAAAAAAAACAAAACAAAACAGAATCAAATCATCATGAACCTGTGAGAATCCAAGCAATCCATCGATTGGTGCATACTTAATCATACATTCTTCAATATATTCAAGACATTTATCGAAATTCTCATACTCCGTAAACTCCTGCAATTAATTCGCAGAAAAAAACCTTCAAAACCCCTAAAATTCCTTAGAAAAAGAAGTACATCGGAACACAAAGAATTACAGAGATAATCTAACCTTGCTGAATTGGAACCATTCGTAGAAAGGCGGATCGAAAATCCCTTCGACTTCGGATTTTCCATTACAAGGAAACGGTGCATCGGGGAAGAACAACTCGACTTTTTCAAGTACCGATTCCGGCCATTTCTTCGATTGAATTCTGAAGATTTCGCCGCTGGTTCGAAATCCATGGAGGCAAAGGATCCTTGGTTTTCTCGTCACAACCATCATATCGGAACCTTCACTTCCCATGGTTCGATGGTGAATGATTCCGGAGGGATGGGAGCTTTTGTGAGGAGGATTGTGGCTATTAATACCGGAATTGGAAGTGGCGTGTTCGAATTTGATTCGAGATTTGGGAATCATGGAGGGGGACACGTTCCATACAGTGGTGGTTACGAGGGTGCACCATTTCATACCGTGAGGTCTCAAGCTTCTTTTTGCTGTCCTTTTTGGGTTTGGTCCCCAACATAATTTTGTTAACAAATATTATTTTAAAGATTATATCATCAATTAATTAAATTATTAAATATAATTAATAAAATATTATTTCGTCATTATTTATCATCCATTACGAGTACAATTTTTAACGTGTCATGTCAATTTTAAATATTATCAAAAAAGTACCTTTCATTTCTTGTTGACACATCATCATAAAACAATTTAATTAAATAACATGAAAAC